GTCATGTATGGATGTGAGAGTTGGACTATACAGAAAGCTAAGCACTGAAGAATTGATGCTTTTGAACTGTGGTGTTGGAGAAGACTCTTGAGAGTCCCCTGGACTGCAAGGAGATCAAACCAGTTAATCCTAAAGGAAATCAGTCCTGCATATTCATTGGAAAGACTGATGATGAAGCTGAAACTCCAACCTTTGGCCACCTGATGTGAAGAAATGACTCATTGGAAAAGACCCTGATGGTGGGAAAGACTGGAAGCAGTAGAAGGGGACGACAGAGGATGAGATGGTTGGATGGAATCACCGATTCTATGGACATGGGTTTGCGTAAACTCCGGGAGTTGGTGATGGGACTGGGAATCCTGGCATGCTACAGTCCATGGGGTCACAAAGAGGTGGACACAACTGAGCGGCTGAACTGGACTGAAAATTTATTTTTGGCTGTACTGAATCTTCGTTGCAGCGTGTTGGCTTTCCCTAGTTTCGATGAGCAGAGGCTGCTCTGTAGTTGCAATGACTTCTCTTGTTGCAGTGCTGGGGCTCTAGAGTCCAGGCTTTAGTAGTTGCAGCCCAGAGGCTTAACTGCTGCCCAGCATGTGGGCAGGATCCTCCCAGACCAGGGACTGAAAGTATATCCCCTGCTATGGCAATTGATTCTTAACAACTGGGCCACCAAGGAAGTTCCAGGTAATGTAATTATTTAAAAGCAAAGTTATACAACAGTAGAAAAACTAATACATTATAAATTTCATATTAAGTATCACTTTAAACCTTTCTCAAGTCTTGCACACAATGAATACTTGGGTAACAATGGTGATGACACAATGTCTTCCAGCTCTTGGTGTACAATTACTAAATTTTCACAAGACACTCATACGCATACATGACAGAGAAGTTTATTAACTGAACAGTATGATTGTTTAACATTCATTAAGCAGAGAAGTGGATCATCATCAAGGTCTTCATCCTCCTGTCTTCTGTTGAGTGGGGGGGGGCAGGGTGGGTTGCTCTTGCTGAGTCAGGAGCAGCAGTGAGAAGAGGCAGAGAAGTGGAAGGGAAGGCAGAAGGAGGTGCAAAGACAGAAGTGGTGGAGGAAGTGGAAAGAGGTGTAACTTGACAGAAATATATCTTAATTTCTGTCCAAATTTTCCTTTTCTACTTCTCTAATAATGTTTCTATTCGGTACTAATCCTTCAACCACAGGCTTTAGTTTTAGTGTCTACTCAAGTGTCATACAAGACGCCAAGTTGTAAAAGAAGTCAAAAGTAGTCTTCAGTAAAAAGAACCTTGCTGCCAGAATGTCTAATGGCAATTTGTTTTCTGGCACTGCTTCTTCCATGTCTTTTTCCTTATAGTCTTGCACTGGTTCAAAAGGACTCATCTCCAAATTAACTTCCATTAATTTCTCTGTTATGCTATCTATTAACTCTTGAATATTCCCAAAATATGTATTTTGAAGCCTTTCATCGTCCCCACCCCCAACCTTTTTCCAATAGCCACTATCTCTTTCATGACTTCCTTGATTGGCTGCCATAAATCCTGTGAGCTCATGCACGACACGTGGACACAGTCTCTTCTAGCGGAAATTTGTTATTAGGCTTGATGGCCTTCATAGTTTTTTCTATCACAATGACAACATCTTCAACAGCATGATCCTTCTAGATTTTCATTATGTTCTATCGGGGGTGTCTCCCACAGCACTGACAATCCTTTCTACAGAGTACCATGTGTAATGAGACTTCAAGGTCCTTATGATACCTTAATATAGACTTTATTCAAAGACACTGTGTTTGGGAACCACTTTGACAGGCTTCCCAGGTGGTGCTAGTGGTAAAGAACCTGACTGCCAATGTGGATGTAAGAGACCTGGGTTCAATCCCTGGGTCGGAAAGATCCCCTGGAGGAGGAAATAACAACCCAGTCCAGTATTCTACTTGGAGAATCCCATGGACAGAAGAGCCTGACCGACTGCAGTCATAGGGTTGCAAAGAGTGGGACACAACTGAAGCAACTTAGCCCACACGCATGAATACCACTTTGACACCTTCAATGTTGAACTCACGGGGTTAAGGTGGCCAGGGTCACTGTCCAATACCAAAGAACCTTAAAATGCAGTCCCCTTACTGCAAAGTACTTCATAATCAGGGATAAAGCATCAATGGAACCAATTTAGATAAGTATTCTCATTGCCCTGGCCTTCTTGTTATACAACCAAAAGAATAGTAACTGGTGTTTATCTTTAAGGATAGTGGGCTTATGAAGTTCCCTGGTGGCCTAATGGTGAGAGTTCTGGGCTTTCACTTCAGTGGCCCAGATTCAGTCCCTGGTGGGGGAACTGAGATTGTGCAAGCCAAAAAAAGGAAGACAAAGAATGAAAGAAAAACAATTCCATTAAAAAAAAAAAAAAAAGTGGGCTTGGCAGCTTTATAGATAAGAACAGTCCTGATCAAAAACTCAATTTGCACAAAACAAGTTAGTCTTCAACCAGCCTCAAATTCAAATTAATGCTCACTTCTCTTCTTTAGTAATGAATGACTTTTTTGGAAACTTTTCCAGACTAAGGCACATTACTCTGTATTAAAAACCTGTTTAGGCAGACAGCCTTTCTCTTCAATAATTTTGTTAACAGCATGTGGGAACTCAAAAGCTGGTTCTGCTATCTTGATACTTTTTCAGCCAAAACTCTTTCTAAAATTACCAAACCATTCTCTGCCAGCATTAAATTCTCCAGATTTAGAAACTTCATTTTCCTTTTGCTTTAAATTGTCATACAATGAC